TACATTGAATTACAATGTGATTAATTCTTCCTATAAACCATCTTAGTATTTTTGATTTTTTAAGGTTTTTGCTTTAGAGCACATGCCCTCGCCACAGAGTGACACAGAGACAGAAGAGGGAAAGTGGGAAATCGCCCCCTATGAGGGGTGGCCATGCCACAGTCCCTTGTTCTCCATTCTCTAAGGCTTTTGGGCATGCATGTACATTCGCAGAGTGACACAGAGACAGAAGAGGGAAAGTGGGAAATCGCCCCCTATGAGGGGTGGCCATGCCACAGTCCTTGTTCTCCATTCTCTAAGACTTTTGGGCATGCATATACATTCGCTCAGCATGATTTTTCAAGCTGCTAGGTCTGGGGCTAGAACCCCAATCAGCCATGTGGGAGTTCAGAGGCCTTAACCATCAGCCACCTACTGGCCTCATTTTAGTATCTTACAGTCACAACACAGATACTTGTTTTTCTTGTTGTGTTAGTTTTTGCTACAGTGTGTATGGGCTTGCCAGAGAGACAGAGAGAGAAAGGAAGGTGAGAAATCATCCCCCAGGGCAGATGGTCATGCAACAGTCCCTTCTCCACTCTCTGGAGATTTTGGGTGGGTGTGATTTTTAAGAAGAGGAGGACCTGAAGTGAGAGTCTTTTCCCTTTCCTTCTTTCTTTTCTTTCTTTCTTTCAGAGAGATTTTTTGCTATAGACCCATGTGCTTGCCAGAGAGACAGAGAGTGATAGAGTGACAGAAAAAGAGAAACCACCATTCAGGGTGGTGGCCTCACCACAATCCCTTCCCCTCCATTCTCCTCTCTGTATTTTGGTTATACATGCACACATGCCCAGCATGAGTTTTAAGCCACTGAGTCTGGGACTCGAACCACAGTGGACTATGTGGGAGTCCAGTGACATAACCATTATGCCATCTGCTGGCCCCAAATCTAGTCTTTTCTATTTGTTTATTTGTCTGTCCTTGTGACAACATCACCTTCTCTTAATTACTGTAGATCTTAAATATCTATTGGTATCTCTTAGTATATGTCCCCCAGTTTTGTTCAAGATTGTCCTTGTTAGTCCTAGATCTTTACCTTTCCATAGAAGCTTGGTAATTTGTATAAGACCGATGAGAATTTTTGTGATATCATAACCAATTTATGGATCAATGGGGGAGCACTGACATATTCATAATATAGAGTCTTAAAATCTGAGAACACGTATGTTCCTTTTTCAGTAATATTTTGTGTTTTTCTGTAGAGGTTTCAGTGTCTTTAGATTTTGATGGTATTTGGAGCTAGATCTGTGAGCTCATGAAAGGTGATGTCCTCTTCCCAGCTCCACTCTCCGTGAGTCTCATTGTTAGACTGAAACAGGCCAGAGCGGTAGTATTTATATGGCAGGAATTGGAAAACACTACAAATTAGGACTTTTCCTCACCTATCCACTGATAAGAGCTAATTGTTAAACATTTACCACCAAATCACTTACATTTATTACTAAATGTGGTGGATTTTATAATACTATACCAATGTTTTTTTTCTTCTCATTTAAAAAATAAATTAATAAATAAAGGTATAGAGCCAGTAAGTGAGTGGCATCGTGGTTAAAGTGACTGCGTCCCATATAACTGACTGTGTAATTCAAGTCCTGGACCCAATGATTTGAAAAATAAGCTGAGTACATGTGTGTGCATGTCCAAAATCCCCAAAGGTGGGAAAAATGGAGGAGAGGAGATCTCAGCATGACCATTCCCATTGGGAATGTTTTCTTACTTTCTCTCTTTCTCCCTCTCTCTTGCTGTCTCTCCAGCAAGTAGACACACCCTCTGGTAAATTTGAAATTAAGGTATAATACATATGCAGTAAAATCCACTCTATTAATATATGTTTGTGTGACTTTTGACAAATTTATGCAGTTGTGTTACGACTATCACAATCAAGACACAGAACCATTTCATTACCCTAGATACTTCTCCCTATTCCTTTGTAGTCAACTCTTCCCTCTACACAACTCCTGGCAACCATTAATCTACTTGGTCCCTGTAAATTAGCTTCTTCTGAATGATTCGTATAAATGGAATCATGTAGTGTATTACCACTTAAGTCTGACTCCCATTAGAGTAATTCACATGAGATTCATGCATGTCGTTGTATGAATTAGTAGTTTATTTCTTTTCATTGCTGAGTAATGCTCTCTTATATAGATGTACCTAGTTGAGGGGTATTTGGGTCATTCACAGTTTTTATTGGGTTGTTGGAAAAGTCATGACACATTTTTGCATAGAAAAACAGAAAAATACATCATGCCTTTTCCAAGTATAAAATTGCTATCAACATTTCTGTGCAGAGTTGTGTATGAATATGGGTTTTCATTTAGCTTGGATAAATTTCTAGAAGTAATATTTTTGGATTTTATGGTAAGTATATATTGAATTTTTTGAGAACTGACAAACTGTTTTGCATTTTGGCTGTACAGCTTTTGCATTCCTACCAACAACACATTAGAGTTCTAGTCGTCCTGCAGCCCCAGCACCACTTACTTTAGTCAGTGTGTTTAGCCCTTCTAGTAGGTATATAGTGCTCTCTAGATTACGACTTTTCAAGCAGCTCTCCTACTTTGTGCATTTCAAGGTGCAAATTTTCTCTGAGTAAGCTTTTGCTGTGTTACATTTTCCAAATTTGACTCCAAATAGGGAAATATTGAAAATACTTCCTTTAAAATTAAGAAGCCGTAACTGCTGAAATCAGACCTGCTGAAAGTTATGCCCATTACTGTAATAACTCTTGTATTCACTATTGTATTGAATGTCCAATAATACACAAAAAGAAATATAAAATATTTAGAAAATCAGAAATAACACTGTCATGATTATAAATTGTTTTTCTAGTTTTACATTTTAAAAATATCTGCGGGACCAGCAGATGGTGTAGTGGTTATGTCGCTGGATTCCCATATAGTTGACTGCAGTTCAAGTCCCAGACCCGGTGGCTTAAAACTCACACAACTCACAATCCCAAGAGGAAAATGGAGAAGGGACTGTGGCATGGCTATCTCCCCTGAAGGGCGATTTCTTACTTTCTGTCTCTCTGTCTGTCTCTCTGGCAAGTGTACATGCCCTATAGAAAAAAATCTCTCTCAAAAAAAATCTACAGGGAACCAGCAGTTAATGTAATGGCTATGTCGCTGGACTCCCATGTAGTCGACCGTGGTTCACGTCCCGGACCCGGTGGCTTAAAACTCACGCCGGGCGTGTGTGTGTCTCTATGTCTCTCTCTGTCTGTCTGGCGAGCGCACGCGCCCTACAGTGAAAATCTCTCAAAAAAAATCTACATAAAATTTATAGAAATAATAGAGTTTAGCAAATGTTTCAATATGAGACCAACACATTAAAGTAATTACAGTTCTTTACCCAAACAAGTAGAAGACATAATTAAAGCAACAAATACAACAACTAGTCTTGTTAGCTATGTTAACTATGAACTACTGTTAACTATCATATTAACTACTGTTAATTTTTGTTAACTACAGTTAACATAACTACTGAGAGAACCCTCGATAACTGTGCTATGTTATGTTACATACTGTGTTAGCTATGAACTCCCAACAACAACTACTAACAAAAAATATAATGTACCTAAGAGTAAATGTAGTAAACCTCTTCCACCACTGCAAATTAAATAATAAAAACTTTATTGAAGGGAATTAAAGACCAAAACCAGATGAAGCAATAGTCCATGTTTATGAACTGAAAGACTGAATACCATAATGGTATCGATTCCTTCCAGATTAATCTATAAATTTAACATAATTTCAATAAAAATTCAACGAGTGTATTGATTCTAATATTTATATATAGTTAAAATAGCCAAGGCCAATACTATTTAGAAGAAGGAGTTGTCATACTAAATGACTTTTTTTTTTTTTTTAATTTTGCTATAGGGCACATACTTGCCAGAGAAAGATAAAGAGAGTGAGAACCCCCCACCCCAGAGGGGATGGCCATGTCACAATCCCTTCTCCTCCATCCTCCTCTCAGAATTTCGGGCATGCATGCACATGCACCTGGTGTGATTTTTCAAGGTGCTGGAACCTGGACTCAAATCATGCAGTTGGCCATGTGGGACCCAGCAGCCTTAACTTCTACACCATCAGTTGGATCATTTAATGACTATATTTTTAATGCCAGAGAGCATGCGCATGAAAGTCAGAGAACCCTCCAGTAAAACCAGATCACACCAAAGACCTTTTTCCTCCAATCTCTAGCCCATCAGAATGTTGGGTATGTGCACACCATATTTTTCAAGCCGCAGGGTTCCGGACTTGAACTCTGATTGACCGTGTGGGACCCAGCTTTCTCTGTATAGTGCTACAGAATGGGATAGCTCTATAATCACTTCTTATCAAGTTATTTTTATTAATATACTACTGACAAATAGTACATAGTTAATATAATAAATGATGACCACTACTAGTACTGTTTTCAGCATTATCTGTTCATGTTTGATTTTGGCACTACCTGCCTGCTTAGTTTCAGCCTCAGCACAAGGTTCTTTCTGAGGATAGCTAATATTCTTACTTGATGAAGCACTGTTCTATTTGATTCAGTCACATGATCAGAAAGTCCAAATGTAAGTCTTTCTGGAAAATGGTGGAATTATGTTAAAATATGTCATTAAAATGAACATTTCTAATTCCACTGTGCTCTTGTGTCAGGTGTTTGAGAAGAGAGAGCTAAAGGGGCCAACAGGTGGCATGGTGGTTAAAGGCACTGGACTTCCACAGAGCCAACCATGGTTAGAGTCCAGAACCTGGTGGCTTGCTTTCTCACTTTCCCTCTCTCTCTCTCTCCCTCTCTCTCTCTGTCTGTCTGTCTGATCAAACTGGAAAATAATAATAATAAAGTTAAATAAATAAATTTTTAAAAATTTATAAAAACAAAAAAAAATAGAGAACTAAATATACATTTCTTGGCATTTTGAGATGATTAACTGAACTGGTTGCTGCTTTGTTCAACAGGTGGATTTTCCGAAAAGACATCTGAATGGAGCTCCGAAGAAGAGGAGCCTGTAAAAAAGGCAGGACCTGTCCAAGTCCTCATCGTCAAAGATGACCATTCCTTTGAGTTAGACGAAGCCGCACTGAATCGGATCCTTCTCTCGGAGGCTGTCAGGGACAAGGAAGTTGTGGCTGTATCTGTGGCTGGAGCGTTTAGGAAAGGAAAGTCGTTCCTGATGGACTTCATGCTCAGATACATGTATAACCAGGTACGTAAGAGGTGCCTTCAAAAGCTTTCGTACTTCCGAGCTTCTGTCACTTTGCATTTTGATTTAGTGATGTTTTCAGCATTCCCACTTCTATGATCGTATATCCTAAATACGAGCTGATTTAAAAAATGCTACAGTGAAACTATTCCAAGCTCAATGCTTTAAGAACAAACTGTGCAGGCCACTTCCCTCTGAAGCCCCTTAGTTGTCCGTCTTTTTTCTCTCTTAAAAATAGACACAGCTTAGTGATATGATTAGAGACTTTAAATGTTTCAGCATTAAAAATGTCAAATTTGGGGGCCAACAAGTGGTGTGGTAATTAAGGCGCTGGACTCCCATGTGGTTGACCATGGTTCGAGTCCTGGACCTGGTGGCTTCCTTACTCACTCTCTTTCTTTCTGGTGAGCGCACTTGCCCTGTAGCAAATTGAAAAGTAATAATAATGACAAATAAAAATTAAATAAATAATTATTTTTAAAAATGTCAAATTTTGCTACAAGTTTTTGAGTGTAATAGCTTTTTTCCAACATGCATGATGACATTTTTCAAGCATGCATCAAATTTAAAAGAATTTTACAGTGAACATCTGAATACCTACCACCTAGATTCTACCATTAATGTTAATATTTTTGCTTTTTCATATATGTCTCCATTATTCATTCCTTTTTCTGTCTATCACTCCATCTTACGCTTTGGTTCATTTACAAATTGCTGAGATCAGTATACTTCCCCACCAATATGTCAGTTTTTAGAAGGAAAATTGTTAATAAACTTATCCTATATTTGGCACACAGTAATCAATAAGTAGTATTTGAAAAAAATACATAAATGCCTGAATGAATGAAAAGCTGAATTTTAGGTCAACTCAAAGAACTATTTGTGAATATTTTCCTTGACTTTCAAAATTATTATGAGGTATTGTTAAAGCTTAATTTATTTTATTTCTCTTATGAGGAAAAGAGGGAGTCAGAGAGAGAGAGACAGGCCCCCCATAGGTCTTCACACTGTGATCCAACCGCATCCCAGCCAGCCCAGATCACCACCATGCACACGTCTGCTCATGGTATATGGGGAAACGTCCCGACAAGAACCCGAAGCCTTCCCATGTGGGTCTAGCATCACAGGGCACTGCATTGCAGCTGCACCACTGCTGCTGGCCTCAAAATCATTTCCCATGCTTAGAGTTTTTATAAATACGTTAGGTAGACCATTGATTGACCTGAGTTAATGTAACAGTAATGTTATTCTTATGCTAATTCATCTTCATTACAATTTATTCATTGAAATATGCATCTCAAGACGCTTTTCCAGGCAACACTTTATAAGACTTGTTTAAGTTTCAACTCAAGTTCTGACTATGCGCTATGCCCTGCATTATGGAGGCACTATGGACACCAAAGAAGACATACATTTTGCACTTAGGCATCTCATGGTCTGAATGAGGAGACGAAAGGAAGATATGCATGAAATATTTAAGAGCATCATTAAATGCTAATCCATATGTTTCTGAATGTAGTTCAGGGAAAGGACAGGCAGGAGTTAGGAGGGAAAACTTCATAGAGATATTAGAGACTTAAGATAGATTTGTAAGAGGATCGGGATCAGGAGAGGAAGAGAGAAGGACATTATAGACTAAGAAGAATAAGCATAATGTATACATTAAATAGAGGATACATCTTCCCGAGAGTAAAAAATATGTATTAGAAACAAAGAGGAGATGAGATTGCATAGGTGAGAGCCAATTCATGGAAGAACCCAAACAGAGCTTTTTATGAGGGTCTAAAATACTTTATAGAACAATACAGGATATAAGTAAATAAAATTTTGTTTGATACTCTAGTTTATAGAGAATTATTAATTCAAGTAGCCTACTACTAAATACCTCTTTATATTTTAGTTAATATGAGGTTATAGATTTGAAGATTATCCTATAAGGTCTTCCAAAAACTAATAAGCTATTCTATCTAAAAAACATCAAAATAAGTGTAACTACTATTTTTGTTGTTGTTATAGGGCATGCACATTCACCAGAGAGAGACAGAGAGAGAGAGAGAGGAAGTGAGAAATCACCCCCCTGGGGGATGGCCACACTGCAATTCCTTCTCTAACTCTCAGGATTTTGGGCACTAATGCACATGCACTTGGTGTGATTTTCAAGCTACCAGGTCTGAGACTCAGACCACTCAGCCAGCCATGCAAGATCCAGCTCCTTAACCTCCACACCACCTGCTGGCCCAAGTGTAACCACCATTTTTTTAAAAAGAATTATTTATTTTATTTTACTTACTATTTTTTAAATTTTTGCTAGAGGACACATGCACTCATCAGAGAGAGAGAGGGAGAGATTGGGAAGGTGAGAAAGCAAGCTGCCAGGTCTGGGACTCAAATCATAGTCAGTCATGTGGGAGTCTGGCATTTCAAACACCACGCCACCTGCTGGCTCCACCAAGTAACTACTATTAATTAACATCACCAATGACTTAGTTACTAAATCTAAGAGACACTTGCCATTTCTTATCTAACTTGATATTGAGCCTTAATGGACAGTTTCTTTTATTCTCTTGTTCTTCGACTCCTCAAATCCCACTTGTATTGGTACCCTTCTATTACTTCCCCCTGTCAGGCCCTTGGTCATATTTTTAACGTTTTAGTCCTGCTTTTATCTTCTTACCTATCATTTCCTTTATTCTTTTTTTTTTTTTTTTGAGAGGTTTTTGCTATAGGCGCTTGCACTTGCCAGAAAGACAGAGAGAGACAGAGAGATAGAAAGTGAGAAATCACTCCCCAGGGGGGATGGCCACGCCACAATCCCTTCTCCTCCATTCTCCTCTCAGGATCTTGGGCACGCACGCACACGCACCCGTTGTGTTTAAACCACTGGGTCCGGGACTTGAACCACAGTCAACTACATGGGAGTCCAGCGATATAGCCATTATGCCAACTGCTGGTCCCTCGTTTTCTTTATTAACTGGTCCTTCGTTGCTTCTAGAATGATCTGTTTATTTGCAATAACTTCTCATTTCCCACAGGATAAAATCTGACTTCCCTAGGTACCTTATAGGGCCTTTCAGAATCCGGCCATCTGTCTTAACTTCTCCCTGCTGCTCCTTCCCTCCTTTCCCCCTGCTGCTCCCTCTTCCTCACCGCCCCCCAACCAGAACATTTGTATAAAAGCCACACATGATAAGCTCTCACATAACTTTCTTTCTTTCTTTCTTTCTTTCTTTCTTTCTTTCTTTCTTTCTCTCTTTCTTTCTCTCTCTCTCTTTCTTTCTTTCTTT